TATATATATATATATATAAATATAAATATAAATGTTGTTTTGGTTATAATTAATTTAATACTAAATTAAAATACTATCTGTAGAGTTTTAAAACCTGCTGTAATTTAGTCTGTGTACCGTAAATTATTTTATGTTTACCAAGTTGAAGATGATTCGGATTAAAAGACCTGCTAGAAACAGATATTAGTAATGGTGAAGGAAATGAATAAACTGGCAGTGATATCCTAACCCACTGAGAACGTTGCCCTGGAGACCAGGGCTGAAACAATTGATTGATTATTAAATTAATCGGCTGATTTAGTGATGGATCATTAACTTGAATCTATCAGAGGTGTCAAAAGTATTAATTTTTATTACTCCAGTAAAAGTATAAATCCTGCTGTTTAAAAACACTTTGTAGAAGTTACAGCTTTTCACTCCAGTCAAAGTGTAAAAGTACCATTTTTAAAACTACTTAAAGTATAAAGCTAAAAGTAAGAAGGACAGAAGCTTTACTGCACTACCCTATTAAAAGGACATTTTTCTACAATGCTGGATGAAAACCTCCTTAGACTTAATTTTCTTAAATATATGTTTGTGGTAAACAATTGGTTGGGGCAGCACAGAGTGCAACCACAAAGAAATTAATTGTTTGGATGAAACTAATTATTTTGATGGTTTTAATTCTTGAAATACAAACAGGGCATAATGAAAATGAGCTTAAATGAAACAAAACTAACAAGTCTATTTTTAAAATGTAAGGAATACAAGTAAAATGTTTTCTAAAAAATAAGTAATAAGTATTCTAATCTATTTATTTTACTTGACTATTCTGGAGTCAAGTAAAATAAACAATAACAGCAGTAATTATATCTTGAGTAAAAAAAATGTTGTATCTAAAATGGAAAAGTTTTTGTTCCAGAGCTCCTCTTGACGTAGTTTAAGCTTCACCTGCTTTAAATTCAGAATAAAAGCTTCTGCTATCAGCTGCTCTGCTAACGGATGTCTGAAGGTTAAAGGTCTCACACCTGTTTCCATAGAAAGGCCAGGCAGCGGCTGGGCAGGAGGGGAGCTCTGCAGCAGGGGTCGGCACGTCAGAGAGCCAACCCAAACCCCCCCACAAAGTAACCTGCAGTCTCTTACATCCTCTCTGCTGGTTTGTTGTGGGACTGAAATGATTGTGGGGCTCTTCTGGAGAGCGTAAAAAATGAACTTTTTCCTCCCGGCGCCACGGCGAGTGGAGCTGCTCTGGTGTCTGTGGTGTGTTTGACTTGTCTGTGTGCAGCGGCGGACCTGTTGCTGTGGCCTTTCTTCCTGGTTGGAGGTCTCTGTTGCACGGGCTGCTTCTCATAACCCAGAACGTTTCAAATCCAGCAATAACTGCTCCTTCAAATGGGGTCTGATGTTCATCAGAGGCGGACATGTTTCTCCTCGCTCTGCTTCCAAGCAGGAGGAGGATGATGATGATCAGATCAGCATTTCTGGAGCTGAAATCAGAGTTTGATGGCTGCGATTGATCCAACCTAACCGCTATAAACTGCTGCTGGCATTTCACCTTGAAGTGTGTCTAAAAGTGAAGGATTTTAATCGGGATTTCATTATTTCAGAGTGAAATGTCACCCAGCAGCTCTGGCCTTTAAAAAGCTGGTTTGTTTTCCTGCTGCTGACCCTCCCCTCCCCCCCAGCCCCTGACTCTGAGCCCTCTGCCACCAGGCCAACCACAGCATTGACTTCGACACTGGCTCAGCTCTGGTCCTGACCATCGAGAGCACGCTGATCACCGCCTGCTCCTCGGAGTCTCTGGTGAGTAAAGGACACTTCAAGAACTTCTGCATCCGCTTCGCAGAGGGCTTCGAGACGTCCTGGGACGACTGGAAGCCTGAGGTCCGGGGAGACTTGGTCATTAACGCATGTAAGTGGGCAAGACGTCGCAGGGTTCCTGGGATTATCAGGAGTAATTGCCTAAATGTTGCTTCTGTCTGTTGTCGTGGAAACAGGCGTGGTCCCTGATGGAACCTACGAGGTCTGCTCCAGGACGACGGGGCAGCCGTCTGCAGGTCAGAGCAGCTTTTAGTGAAAATGGCGATCGGAATACCAGCCGGGACTCTTCCTCAGGCTTTTTCTCCTCTGACCCTCAGAGAGCAGCAGCGCCGGTACCTGGACTCTGAACGTGCTCTGGAAAATGTGCGGCATCGACGTTCACATGGACCCGAACATCGGCAAGCGCCTCAACGCCTTGGGAAACACGCTGACGTCGCTGACGGGCGAGGAGGACCCCGACGACATCACTGACCTGAACTCAGTGAACATGGGGGACCTGTCGGACGAGGACGAGACCGACACCATGTCGCCCACCATCCACATGGTCAGGACTCTTCCAACCTGTTCATGATCAGTCTGGTTCTCAGATGGAGCGCCGCCTTTATGACATCATGTCCTGTTTCTAAAAATAGCTACTGATGGATGGATGGATGGATAGATGGATAGATGGATAGATGGATAGATGGATAGATGGATAGATAGATAGATGATGATGTGCTGATGAATGATGATGATAATGAGGATGATGATGAATCCCCTCCCCCCATTGTTCACAGAGCTCAGAGAACCAGTTCAGCCCTCGGCTGACCTTAAAGAGGCGCCTGGTAAACCACATCCTGGGCCTCAGCCCCAGGCCTCAGAGTGTCTCTGTCCCTGAGGACTGCTTAAACTCTGCACCACCCTGCTCTAGCAGGGCCCAAAGACCCCTCTCCTGGGCCTGTGTATGTAGACACCCCCCCTCTCAGTGGTGGGAACTGTCCTCTGGGTTTGCTAAGTCACTTTCACATCTGGATCCCAGAACGCCAATCAGCACCGATCTCTCTGTGATTAAAACCCTGATGATCCTCATTAGTTCAGATTCTGTGGTTTAGAGCCGGCTTCAGTCCTGCCGTGGAGGCGGGCCTTTCCTTCTTCACTGATTGGGGTGGAGGTGTGTGGAGCTGCTCCTGGTGTTTGGATCAATCACTCAATCTTGGTGTCATTAGTTCTTATTGGAGGTTTACAGGGAACTCTGGGCATTAATTGGGATCTCTGGCATCGGCTTCATCGCATCCATGTTCTGACGCGTTTCCTTGGTCTGCGTTGAACAGGAGAACCTGGACCCCCGCAGGCCGATGATGGGGAACCAGGTGATCGACGCTCGGGGCAGGAAGGTCACCAAGAGGGTGGTGGACATCCGGGAGCTGAACGAACAGGCCAAGGTTATCGACGACCTCAAGTAAGTTTCCGACCTCTGAGCGGAGTATTTCACTTCCCTGCATACAACATGGCCGCCCGTTTGCTGCAGGAAACTGGGAGCCAGCGAGGGAACCATCAACCAGGAGATCCAGCGGTACCAGCAGCTGGAATCGGTGGCTGTCCAGGACATCAGGAGAGACGTCAGGAAGAAGCTGCGTCGTTCAAGCATGAGGGTAAACCATGTTTCACTGCCCTCAGTTGGTACAGTCCAGCATCAGACTGGGCCAATCATCCGAAGCTGGTGTGTGTCACCAATGACACGTTTTCTCCCGCTTTTGATGCCGTTTCTCACACAGGCCGCCTCTCTGAAGGATAAGTGGGGCCTCGGCTACAAACCCAGCTACAACCGCTCCAAAAGCATCTCTGCAGCCGCAGGGCGGCCTCCTCTGAAGCGGGTCGACAAACAAAGGTAAACATTCGGTTTCCTCACTGTCTCTGCATATAAAACGCTAACATGAGGTAGTCCGGTTTTAAACGTTTCACGTACATCATGTATGGAGTACATTTTATTCCATTATTGTTGCAATCAGCAAGTTTTATTAATCGAAATAAATAGACAAAATTTAGAAAATTAAAATTTGAAAAAAACTTTTTCAAAAAAGGAAAATTTAGAAAACTTTTGATCAAAAACAGGTTTTGAGAGTGAAATTGCTGTTTTATTAAATTTCATTTCAAATAATTTTTTTTATTCAAATTCATTTTTTTTTAAACAAAACACTGATATTTATTTATTTAGGTTTTTTTTTTTTTTCACATTCTTTGGAGTGAATTTTATTCAATTATTGTTACAGTCAACAAGATTTATAAATGAAAATTAATAAATAAAAAAATTTGGAAAATTGAAATTTGAAAAAAAACTTTTTCAAAAAAGGAACATTTAAAAATCTTTTGATCAAAAACAGGTTTTGAGAGTGAAATTGCTGTTTTATTAAATTTTACTTCAAATGCATTTTTTTAAACAAAAACACTGATATTAAGTTTTTTTTTGTTTTTCACATTCTTTGGAGTGAATTTTATTCAATTATTGTTACAGTCAACAAGTTTTATAAATGGAAATAAAAATTTCAATGAAAATTGAAATTTGAAAAAAAAACTTTTCAAAAAAGGAACATTTGGAAACCTTTTGGTCAAAAACAGGTTTTGAGAGTAAATTGGCTGTTTTATGAAATTATTTTTCAAATATCTTTTTACATTTTTTTCTGTCAACAAAGAACTGACATTTATTTATTTAAATAAAACTTTTTTTTTTAATCACATTTACTACGGAGTAAATGGTATTCCATTATTGTTGCAATTAACAAGTTTTATAAATTGAAATAAAAAAAAATAAAAATGTGTAAATTTTAAATTTGAAAACAACTTTTTAAAAAACGAAAATTTGATAAAACAGCAACTTTACTACCCAAACCTGTTTTTGACCAAAAGGTTTTCCAAATTTTGTTTCATTTTTTCCCCTTTAAAAAAAAAAAACAAAAAAAAAACGTTGTTGCTAACATCCAGCAGACCAATAGAAAGCTCGCCCTCAGAGGGGAAGAGAATGTGATCTGGAAAACAAAAAAGTGAAGAATGAGATTGGTAAAACAGAGAATTGTGGAAAACATACAATTTGAAATGATAAATTCTGTAAAAAAAAGTTTTTAATTTTTAAAAAGATTTCTTAATTTTAATAATATGAGAAAACAGCAAAGTTATACTTAAAACTTTTTTCAAAGTTTCTTTTCTCTATTGCAATTAATTAGTATGAAATAAAACTAGTTTTAGTCCCTGTAACCTAACAGGAGGTGTTAAAGCAGTCCTTGGATGGGATCATGGTGCTGCAGAGCTTTGTGTTCAAACTGGACTCTGCTGTGGAGAGAATCATTCAATCTGATCGATTATAGCCGAGATAAATTCATCGCAGCCACAGAAGTGAAAATGGAGGATAATCTGAGAGTAAAAGTTTTACTGCTGCAGCTGCTAACGTCTGTCTCTGCAGCTCCAAGATGGGGGATGTGGATGATTTCCCAGAAGTCCGTGTGGATGCTTCCTCCCCTGGACCCCGGGTCACCTTCAGCATCCAGGATCCGGTAAACTTTGCCTTTTATATCAAACAGCTGGTGAACAGGGACAGCTGAGCCTCATTAGCCTGTCAGGGTTCAGGGAACCCAGAAGTAACCCTGAACTCATTCCATTTTTGTGAGTTCATCATGTTTCATGTTCATGTACTTTAGCCGACCTCCATGTTGACTGATGTTCTTTAGTTGACTGCAGGTTTATTTTCTGTTGTAATGACGGTTTTGTTTAATTGAATGATGATTGTCAGGCTTTGGACCCGTCACCCTTACCCGTCAGCCCAGGAGAGGTTTTTAAGGTATCTGCTGACATGAAATCCTCAGCGTTGGTTCCTGTGGTTCTTCCTTCCTCGGTGATCGGCTGTTAGCTGCTGGTTGGAGCGGGAACATGCAGAATCGGAGCAGGACGGTGCAGCTTCTGTTTCATCCACACAATCATTACGATCAGATCTCCTAATGCATCCGTATCTTCTGTTCTTATAACAGAAGCCTGTTTTTAGCCTCCACCATTAAAACATCTAGTGAATACCTGGCTTCTCTCGGGCCGCCGTCCTGTCATGAATCTGCATGATGAATCTGTCCGCCTCTCTTATCCCTCCCATCCTGTCTGATCTCTAACTCTGCATGCGGCGCCTCAGGTCTACAGTTTAGCTGCTGGTTGGCGTCTCAAAGCAGACGTCACCGGAACCTCTGCAGCTCAGCGTCTTCTTGGATTTATGGAGGGAATTTTGTTCCATTATTGTTGTAAGAAAGATCTTCTGTAAAATTAAATCTGGGGAAAAAAGCAATGCAGATTTTAAAAATTGTTCCATTTTCAGATTTCAATTGATGCTGTTTTTAAGTTGTTTTTTTTTTGTACGTATATTATAATAAAAAAAATATTTTTACAGATAACATTTTTTCTAAGTTTGTTTTTTTAGATTGAATTTGGATTTTTGGATTTTATTCTTTTCAAATTGGGTTTTACAGATCACATTCACTTTAAGCTAAAATGTTGTTACTAAGAAAGCATAAAAGCATTTTTTTTTTTTTTATTAAAATTTATTTTTTTAACTTTCATTTATTACACTTCCAACATTTGTTATCCTTTATTAGACCCATTCTGCATAGCTTATTTGGTGTAAAATAATACCTATGTACAATTTTGTAGTGAATAAATGCATTTCTTGCATCCCTTGTAGCCCCTCCCACACTTGAAATAATATTTTCCCACACAGCCTCGTCAATTATTTCATTCCTCTATTGTAATTTTTTTCAAATTACAATTAAGAGAAATTTTTCTTTGTTTGCAATAATAATGGAACAAAATTCACTCCATAGCTGAGTGATCAGAATTTTTTATTTTTTTATTTTTTAAGTAGAAAATGCCGGTCAGGTGGCTTTTGACCCCATGCAGCTTTAGAAACGGTGGGAACAGGGTGCCGTTCTCTGCCTGGAAATGTGTGGTTTTTCTGCTGCAGACGGAGGACTCCTCCTTGTCTCCAGGGGTGAAAGGTCGCGGCTCCTCTCTGGTGGCTGGATTACCTCCTTCATTCCTCTCTTCATCTGCTGGCTGTGGATCCGTTCTTGTTTGTCTGAAACCAACACGTGTGACTTTCTGTCCTTCTCTGAAAGTTCCCAGAGGAGTCCGAGTGCGACCTGTTGTCCGTCACCATCGACGGCCCATCCCATCCTCATCCTCACCTCCATCCTCCATCCTGTGTCGAGGGCCAGCAGTCAGTTTTCAGTGCCCCCGCCACTCCTGCCGTCTTCTCACCCAGCATTCCCTTCCAGCACTACGACAACCGGCGGGACGACCTGTCCTCTTCGTCCTCCGAGGACTCGGAGAAGGAGGAGTTTGAACGGGAGAGAGTGACCAGCTACCGCAGGCCTATGTGAGTGCAGCCGCTTTGTTGTCCATTTGAATCTTGAAACGTTTCTACCTCCATAGTTCTTCTTCCTCTAGTGGCTCGGAGGACTCAGCTCGACGGTTTCTAAGATGGTGACAAAGCATGGCTTTGATTTTAGAAGCTGGACGACATGATTGAGATTTTCCAAACTTTGGGTGTTTATTTAGAAGCTAAACCTGCTTTAAACTGAACAGTTTCAGTTTAAAGTCGTAGGGAGGCGGCCATTCCAACCGTTTCTGAATTCTCCCACGTGGTGCACAAATTTACATCAGTATATAAAGTGAATGTGATTGGTCGTATCAAGGGGGCGGGATTGTTGTGGCGGAAGGTTCGCAAGCAAGTTTTGTTGTGCTAGTTTCTTCTTGCTAAGTAGTTAGCAACTTTCTTTTCATTTATTATTTCAACCATTGCGTATATAAGCTGATGAATCAAAATGCTATGACCGAAAACATTTGATTGATAGATGACCATTGATATATGATTGGCCGAATTCAGGTGTACAAGCTGACGTATAACTAACTGGGCTGCATAAAATAATGAAAAAACCCACAGATTTTAAGACAAAATTTTTCATTTAAATACAAATTTTCAAACTTTTGGGACAATATAGTCTGATAAAAAGTACATTTATAAACATGTTTAAGCCAGAATGATTTGACATTTAAATATGATTTCCCTATGAGTTTAAGTTAGCCGCACCTGGACTCTCATTGGCTGGTACTGGTTGGACTGGACTTAACTGGGAGTGTTTAAACACACTCTGGTAAAAGTTGAAGTATCAACTTGACCTCTTTACCCAAGTACTCATCACTACAGAGCGGGGACTATATAGTGAACTTTATAGTGAACTCATTTAACTGACCGTTCAGACAGATGATCATTGCTTTTTGCTCCGTTGGTCACGTAACTCCTCCAACGCGCGGTGCCTGCGCCATCTTTATTGTTAGTCGTCACTGTCAGGAAGTGACAGCTGGCCGCTGTGACAGTAAATCCCATAATGCTTTGCATGGAGAGCTCTCCACACAAAGCATTCTGGGATGTAGCTGCCTGCTCTGAGGCCTTTCTTTTCTTCTCACACACTTTGTAGACACTTTTTCTCTTCCGACAC